GAGAGGAGACAGACAGGTCAAGGAAGCGGGGTTGGAGCCAGTAAAGGGGAGTTAGGTGAGGAGTTAGGGAGGGGATAGGTCGGTCCAGGGAGGACAGACAGGTCAAAGGAGCGGGATGAGGCCAGTAGGTAGGAGATGGGCCTCATCCCACCCCTTTGACCGGTCCGTCCTCCCTGGACCAACCTATCCCCTCTCTAACTCCGCACCTACACTCACCCTTACTGGCTCCAACGCCACCTCCTTGACCTGTCTGTCTCCTCTCCACCTATCTTCTCCTTTATCCGTCCTCTATCCGCCTCCCCCTTTCTCCCTATTGATTTCAGAATCCCCTTCCCCCTCCCCCATTTCTGAAGAAGGGTCTAGACCCGAAACGTCAGCTTTCCTGCTCCTCTGCTGCTGCGTTTATCCAGCTCTACACCTTGTTGTCTCACATTCTCCAGCATCGGCAGTTCCTACTATCTCAGTATCCATACGTCCCCCAGTTACGCCTCTCTTTGTGGGGTATGTGGAACACTCCTTGTTCCAGTTCTACTCAGGCCCCCAACCGAAACTCTTCTCGGTACTTCGATGGCATCTTTGGTGCTGTCCCTTTCTCACGTGGTATTGGAAAAATTTATCAATCTCCGACTCCTCCCTTTCTTGACATCTGTTGCTATTTCTAGGGATGCCATTGTCCGTAGGGATACCTCAAATGTCCACCTTTTTCCTTAAAAAGGATTCCCCACTATTGTTGACAGGCTCCTTAACCATATCTGACCCATCTCCCGTACTTTTGCCCTCACCCCTTCTCTTCCCTCCCACAACAATATGGTTCCGTGGTCCTCAGTTACCACCCCAAAAGCCTCCAGATGCAAAGAACCAAAAGCTGCCATTTGTCACCTCCAGCAGGATGTCACGACCAGACACTCTTCTTTCCTTCATCAGCATTCCACAGGACATGTTGGAAATGGAGAGCTGAACCAACACCACCTCACACTGCCTTCCCATGCAGTGACAGGTCTAACACCTGCCCGTTTACCTCCTCCTTATCATAGCCCCCAGATATACCTTCAAGGTGAAGCAGCTATTTACCTGTACTTCATTCAATCTAATCTTGTGTTTGCTCACAATGCAGTCTCCTTTACCTTGGGGAGACAAAACATACACTAGGTGCTCTGCAAAGCAGTCACCCACGCTCTGTCAGTAAAAATGACCCCAAGCTTTTAGTTGCCTGTCACTTCAATGTACCACCTTGCTCCCATGCCAACATTTCTGTTGCAGCACAAGCTTAAAGCATCTCATTTTCTGTATGGGGACCCTACAGCCTCTAAGACTCACCAACACGTTCAATTCCTTTAAGAGCCTGATTCTATCCTTGCATGTTTTTTAACCACCCCCACACTCTGTCCTGTCATGACATGGTTGCTTTCAGCACAGCCTAGCCATTCTAACTCCCAGCTCTCACCATCATTTATTCAACTTCTCTTCCATTCGATCAACTATCAATAATCTCCTGGCCTGCCTACCATTTTTATATCCTTCTATTTCTTGCTCACTCTCTCTAAGCTCCATCTCCACCCAGCCGCTTACTGTCACCCTTCAAAACCTCGTCTTCAGCATAAATACCAGTTTTGAAGAAGAGTGACTGTACTCAAAATGTGAATTCTGCTTTCTCCCCACAGATGCTATTAGACCTGATGAGTTTTGCCAGCAATTTCCACTTTTGTTGAAGATAAGGCACTGTCCCTCCAGCTTGCATTGAGCCTCGCTGAGTAGTACAGCAGGCCTGAGATAGAAGTGCTGGCATAGGCATAAGGTGGTGTGTTGAAGTGTGGGCAACTGGAAGCTCAGAGTCATTTTTACAGACAGAGCATAGGGGCTCAGCAAAACAGTCACCCAGTGTGCGTTTTGTCTCACTCGTATAAAAGAGGCTGCAGTGTGCAGTGAATATAGCAACGAAGTGCAGGTTAGTTGCTGCTTCACCTAAAAATTGTGGGGGGAATCTTGGGTGGCAAGGAGGAAGAAGGTTAACAGGCAAGTGTTCCAACTATAATTGATTGAGGTGGTGCCAAGGAGTGTGAGGTGCTGGGAATGGAGAAGGAATGGACAAAGGTGCCCTAGAAGGGACAAGTCCTGCATGAGTCTGGGGAAGGAGTCTGGTGGTGGCATGGGGTGGCATCTTCTGGATGTAGTGAAATGGTGGGCTTATGATCCTTTCCAGATCAGGACAGGAATTTAAGAGTTTTTTTAATATATTTTTTTAAACAAAAACAAAGTTACTTACCAGTCTTCAAGAGTCTACAATATTCAAAAACGTTTCAAACTAAGATTTTACTTTCAAACTGACTTGTCAATGACTCACTCATGAAGTACTTTCTCAAAATAAGGTCTTACTTCAAAAGAAATTTTACCTTTAAATCTAGGTGTACAATATTGTTTTGGTGTAGGAAAACTACTCCTTCAAGAGTCTGTCGAAGAAGTCTGATTACATCCCTTTCTGAGAGGGCTTCATCTCGATCAGCTACACACAGATTAAAGACTTCTCCTCCAGCAGCACTAGAAAGAAATGTTAAACTATGAAAAACAAAATTTGTTCTAATTCTTATCTCCTCCTGGCTTTTTATGCTATTATTTATGTCCTCTGGTGATCACCCTGTTAATAGTAACAGTTTCTCTTCATTCATTCTACTAAAACACTCAACTTTGTTTGAACCAGAGAATGTTATGGAGATGAAATCAAAGTAAAGGAGATTCCCAGCTTAAGACTGTGTGCATAATTTGAGTTCTGGATCCTTGGTACTATTCTAATAGATCTCTTACGCATCTTCCGAGAAGCCCTCATCCAGAATGTTCTAGCCAAGATCTAACCAGCAATTCATAGAATCACAGAATCCTTACAGTGTGGAAAAAGGCTAAAGTCGGCCCATCAAGTCCATACTGACCCTCCCAAGAGCATCCCACCCTACCCTTTCCTTGTAACCCTGCATTTCCCCATGGCTAACACACCTAATCTACACATCTGAACACTACGGGCAATCCACCTAGCCTGTACATCTTTGGACTTTGGGAGGAAACCTCAGCACCCAGCGGAAACCCACAAAGACACAGGGAGAATGTGCAAAGTCCACACAGTCAGTAGCCCGAGGGTGGAATCAAACCCAGGCCCCTGGCGCTGTGAGACAGCAGTGTTAAGCACTAAGCCACCACACTGCCCCAAATTCTGAGAAGTTTCAGCATAAGTTCCTTGCTTTTGTATTATATGCCTATATTTACAAAAACAAAGACTCTATGCATAGTTTTAGTTAATTTGTCCCGCCACCTTCACCTTATGGTGCTTGAAGTAAACTCCCAAGTATGTTCCTCATTACATTATTAATATTGCATAATTTCGTCCATTTTGCCTCACCCTCATTATCCTTTCCAAAATGCATCACTTCAATCTTCTCTGCATTAAGTTTAATCTGTAATATATGCCTGTTCATTTCAGATATCTGATAGTGTAGTGAGGACGATAATATCTCTTCAAACTTGGTCATCCCTGAAGTTTAAAAATAGGTCCCCTCCATTCAAGTGCAGGACATAAACATATATAATCAAAAAGAGCAATGGCCTTAATATCAAGCCCCAGCTAGGCACTGCTATGCCTCCATCCAGTCTGAAAAACAGTCAAATTTGTATCCAGATCGGCATTACTCCCACGGGCTTCAAGTTTTGCTAACGTCAAGTGACACTTTATCAATCATGTTTCAAAAATCAACATGCAACTGGCTTCAACTATGCTCTCAAAGCAGCATTGAGATGAAAGGATAAAATTGGGGAAAATTATACACTAGGAAAAGTACATCTGTATGCATTTCAGCGAGCGGAAGAGAGTACTTACTATTCTAAGACGAGAATAATTTCATGTGTAGTTTCATACACCTCGTACAGGTCTACCACACGTGGATTTGACTTTGCCATTTCAAGTACAGCAATTTCATGTATGATATCAGCTTTACAATCCAGTCCCCGACGCCTCTTCTTCATAAACTTAGCTGCATATTCTTTCCCAGTAGCCATTTCTATGCATTTTCTAACAACAGCAAACTTGCCTCTGCAATGTGATAAAAAGATTAACAACAGAATCAAGAATAATCCTGCAATTTATCTCTGACATTGAGCTATAAACTTCCCATTTTTGAAACATACCTCTAGTAATTATCAAACTTGCTTTGGTGTGCAGTGCTTGGAACAAAACTATACAAGGACTATTGGTAAAAAAAAACTATCTTTGCTGGTCAGCATATTGGGATTATTACAGGTTGACACACGATCAATCTAATTGGCATCCTCAAATACGGTTCAAGCCACTTGGTCACCCGACAAACTTGTTTCTGAAACAGACCATAAACCCATCTGATCAGATCATTTTGTGCTGTACATTGCACAAACTCATGAAAAGCCCCAAGGTCTTAGACCAGAAAAGTGCTCAGTCTACAACTAATTACCCTGGAAGGGCAAGGTATCTCAAAGTTTGAGCAACAGGTGAAGCTAAATGTTTCAAGATGATACTCCGAATAATATCACAAAAAAGGTGCTCATCACAAACAGGATGCTGACATCAGGCTACCCATCACCCAAAATGATGGTATGGCAAATGAAGTTCAGCGCCAGTGTAATGCCAGATACATAGGCTATGTATTGCATAGACTGGTGGATTGTATCAAACTACATATCCCTTTGGCCGTTTGCAACAAGGTACAGACCATACCCAATAAACTCATACCTGGGAACTTTCAACAATGTACACCAGCAATTGGACAACATTTGCTATGTAATCCTGAGTGTGTGAAAAATTACACCAATCAATTTAGGATTTTCAGTCAGGATCACAGTATGGCATATTTGTGTGTACAGGAAGCTGCATATTTTAATGCACAGTGCCCTGTTCTTGGAAGAAAAAAAATGTACATGCCCTGCATCTATTTCAACTCTTCAAAATAAACGACAGCCACTGGCTAACTCATTTCTTAGTGGCATGCCCCAACCTATTGGATTTAAAATGTAAATAAAACCTGCCGATTAAGTGTCAATCATTAATTTACGCATTCTCATGGCAACGCCTCTACCAGAGTTCACTTCTTAGTCGGCCTTCTTCTCATGCAGTACAAACTTTGGTTTACTCCTTGAATTATCCTGGTGTGCAAGATGAAAAGCTTCAACAAAATGTATTCTTTTCCAATAATACTCAAATTTATACTGTCAACTGTTTGAAAACCTAACTGTTCCATTATGAATCACAGCACAGGTTCTATGCCTATACAAAACTATGAAAGATTGCAAACCTGTACTGGTAAGTCAACAAATTATTTCATAAAAAGTAACAGAAAGAGAACTATCAATTGTCTTTTGGATCTCAACTAGGCTGCCAGATGAAACTACTTAATTTCAAAATTATTCTTAGGAGCAGAGGATACCAAGATTTTGATCTTCCACTGTTTACAACGTGAGGAAAGAACAAAAATTAGAAATGACATTGCGATAATATGGGGAACCAAAATCAAACAAATCAGTCTTATCATCCAATTGCAAAATAGGCCACTTTAAACACAGACATTTTGATACGGTGGTGTTCATGTGTTCAAATCTACATCATTGGACCCAAGGATCAAAAATGAGGGGTGGGATATCAGAGAAAGATAGTAATCATTTCAATGGGGCCTAGGATAAAGATAAAGGTGACGTGTGAAGTGTTATTGTAAAAACAAATGTCAAAAGCTAAACTTTTGCTGAATACTGTAGCGCATCAGCGTAGCAAGTGGATAACAGCATTAGCTTTTACTTGAAATTTCAAGTTGAAGCCAAACTTTTGCTAGTGTTGAGGGAAACTTAACCTAGATCATTGTAAAACAAGATATACCAGCAGAATGAAAAAGCAGCTTAATAAAAAATTTGAAAATTTAATTGTGTAGAACCTTCTCATGCAGCCAAAGCTTTTTGCCACAAAGCCTCTCACACCTCTCACAACCCGCCAATGGTCCTCTACTACAACAAAGTCAAGATCTGCATCCCAATTTTCAAACTATTCCAAAACTGACCCTACCTGCATTGCATCTCAACTGGCAATAAAGTAATAATTCCACTCACTTTCAAAATTTTATAAACCTGGCCTTGACCATATAGTTTAAAAAAACACTTCTTAAACATATTGATTATCACAACCTTGCATTGCATCCCTCAGGATTCTGCAGCCACAAGTTCAAGCCCTGCACTCCAGTAACAGCAGTTACTTGAAAATTATCCACTCTATTGTAGCAAAGCCATTTCAAAAAGGAGATGACGTTACCGTAGCTACTGATTCAATCTGAAATGCAAAAACATGATAACCACATACCCACTTCCCAGAATACATGTTCTCAAATGGTAAAAATACTGAACTGTTCAGTTCCCATACAAGTTCACTATTTCAGATTTGCACGCCAATTTAGATTTTCTCCACTTACAGATGTCCATAAGTAAAAATCAAAAATCATTGGAGGTGATGTAATAACAACAATAAGAAATTCAGCATTTTGATTTACAAACATAATAATTAGGAATTGAGGTAGGTCATTTGACCGTTCAAACCTGCATTTCAACAAGGTATGGCTCATCTTTTACCTCAACTCTACTTTCCCAAACAATCCCTATAGTCTTTAACTCCTTTTGTAATCAACACTTTATGTTCAAGAAACAGGCCAGCAACTTTTGATATTCACAATTTTCTTGCCCCTCTAAACAACCATCATGTTCTACTTACAAAATATTCCAATTTACACGCAGTAATGAGGCTCAGGTGGACTCCAAGAAATATGCAACACAGCTATATTGGGATCTCTATCAATCCACTTCTGTTGAGTAGGTCTGCTTAAATTGGCCTAATACTTAAGCTTAGTAAACTAGAAATAATCCTCTGATCTTCTTTTGAAATAGTGCCAAAGACTTGTATGCTCATCTGACAGGGCAGATGTATCATTCCAAAGCACAACACTTATCAGTATTGCACTGCACTGTCAAAGAGAGTTCAAGTTTCTCAGGTGTTATGTTATGTAGCCATGTTATAAAGTACGGCGCATCAGCCTGAAACATTTTAGTACGTTAAAAGGTGTTCTATAAGTACATAATATAACGAAAAGAACTGAATGCAAACAAAATAAGTGTACACAGCGTCACAAAAGTTCAATGAGACACATCCCTACTAACTTCAACTTTACCGAGTTACCGCACGAAAGCTGACGAACTTCACAAAAGATTCGCAAACTCGAGTTAGTTAGCGTACGGGTTTTTAAAACACTACACTCACCTGCCCAGTTCCCTCTGTGCCACCGTGTAGTTGTTGTAGAAAGAGTCTGTCTTGAAAGTGGTCTGGATGTATGTGAACAGGACGGGCCGCTTGCCCCTGTCCGCCATCCTCCCGCAACGGCTCTCGCACATTCCTGCTGCTCCCACACCTCACCGCTGAACGGACGAACACCGGCTCCTCCTTCGAGGTGGAAACAAGGACACGTGAGCGCGCGGCACCGGTCACGTCTTCAAGGCTACCCCTGTCCAGTCTCTGGAAATGATCCGCCCCCTTCCTAGAACCGTCCACTGGTTTCCAACAACTTTCTTCTCCCACCGAAGTCAGTGAGTCTACAGCGAAACGCGCCCAGTGATTGGAGCAGGGCCACGCGACTACGTGCGCGCCCCTACAGAGGGGTGGGGCTGTGCGTGCGCGCCCACATAGAGAGGTCCGTGGCGAGGAGGCCTTCCACTTGGAGACGGGTGGGAGAGTGCGTGCGCGCTCCCAAGCCGGGGCAAGCTTAACCACCGGGGAGCGCGCGTCTTTCCGGCGAGTTCTTTTTTTTAAAACTGACCCAACCCATCAGCAGCCAATGAACGGATAGAGAACGTCACCGGATTTAAAAATAGCTCCGTGTGAACGGCCGAACTGTGGGAACGCAATTGTTATCGTTTGTAATCTATAAAAGTTCAAAAATACAGATAGATAGCATTACTGTGCAACTTATTAAGCACCGGGATAGTTAAGGGTATGCTCAGTCGGGTTTTAGTATTTTCAAGACTGCACCCTAGCATCCACCTTTAACAATTCAGATGCAAAGAGTTATTGTACGAACTAGTTAGGCTTGACTGAACTGGTGACTCAATTCCAGAAAACGCCCTCAGATCATAGGGTAATACTGGGCAAAAGCTGCCAATAGCTTGGTTTTCCTAAATCAAAATCAATTCTTGATCATTCTAAACCCAAAAGCAAAGTAATGTCTTTCGATGTTTTCTCTCTTTCACAAGTCCCCACAATTTAAACTTCTGTTAACTCTCCAGGGATCTTTACAGTCATCTGTTGTCTGATAAATCCTGGTTTATAGTCGTAGTTCTGAAAGAATGACCTAATTAATTTTTAAACCCCTTCACAAAAATAGATGAACACTCATATACCTCTAGTTTAAAAACCAAACTCTAAAATAAGTTTAATATAATATATAAATTACATTCCTTTTATCCCAGATAGACATAAACACTGTCAACTGTGAAACTGGGGTCTGGGCTGACAGGGCCCATCAGGCAATCTCAGCCAGGCAGATGATGGTTGTGGGGGTAAAGAGAGGAGCTCAAAAGTAGGATTAGAATAGTTATGTTGGTTATTTTTGATCGGCACGGATTCAATGGGCCGAAGGCCCTTTTTCTCTGCTGTGGACCTCTATGACTTCCATCAAATCTCCCCGAACCTTCTCTGCTCTTAAGGAAAACAGCCCCAGTTTTTTCCAGATAACTGAAGTCCTCATTTACTGGTTCTAGAAAATCTATTCTGCATCCCCGCTAAGACTTGAATAATCTTTCTGAAGTGAGCTAATCAGAATTAAATGCTTATTCCAGCTAAGGCTGAGCCAGTTTTTAAAAAACAGAAGTTCAGAATAGCTTCCTGTTTTCATACTGTATTCCCCTATTAAGAAAGCTAAGGATCCATTTATCTTTCTATCAGTCAACTCTGCTTGGTTCGGCACCTTCAAAGATTTGTGTTAAGTACATTCTCTGCACCTTTTAAAATTGTAAGATGTTGTTAACATTGCTTGTTCCTACCTAATGTGTCTCTTCAGACTTCTCTACATTAAATGTCATCAACTTTGTGTATTTCATTTTACCAATTAGCTCATCTCTTCCTGAAGTCTTGTTAATGTTCTCCTTATTAGTTACTGCACTTTTCAAGTTTCATATCATCAGCAAAATTTGAAATTATGTCATGTATACAAATATACAAACAAGAAAACAAGGAGGAGCAGGCCATTCAGCCCCTGAAGCCTGTTCCACCATTGGATAAAATCATGGCTGATCTGATTGTAATCTAAAATCTGCATGCTCACCTAAGCTGAAAAACCTTTCATCCACTTGCTTAACAAGAATCTATCCACTTCTACCTTAAAATATTCAAGAATTCTGCTTATACCACCTTTTCAGAAACAGAATTCCAAAGACACTTATTTCTCTGAGAAAACAAAAATTGTTTTACATGATAGAGGTCACAAGTTTGAAAGGTGCTATGAAAGGTGAGTTGTTCAGTGCATTTTATATATGGTACACACTGCTGTCATTGTGGGAGGAGTAAAAAGGTTAGTGGATGTTGATCACACAGACTGCTTTGCCCTGAGTGTTGTTGGAGCTGCAGTCTGATAAGCAAGTACTTCATCTCTTCCCTGACTTGTGCCTTGTACATGATGGCACCATTCTGGAGATCTATGTAGAAAAATAAATTATTGGGAACATTAGATGATGGAATCAGAGGTCAGCTAGCCATGGTAGAATACCCAGCCTCTGACCTGCTCTTGTAACCACAGTATTTATGTGACTGATCCAGTTATGTTTCTGGTCAGGCAGGACCACCAGGACATTGACATCATCGGACTCAGTGATGTTATTGCCTCTATTGTTAGAGATGGTCATTGGCTGGTATTTGATGCCACAAATATTAGCTGCCACTTAGCAACCCAAGCCTGAATGTAGTCTTGCTGCATGCTGGACTGACTGTGTCACTATTTGGGATGTTGCAAATGGAAGTGAACGCTGTTCAGCAAGCATTCAATTTATTGCAATAACTTTGTATTTTCTATTTATGGGTAATAATGAAAAGAAACCAAAAAAAGGAAGACAAAGTCATAAGTTCTCTTTTATATTTAACCAGTTTTCTATTTCCCATTTCTTATGGGATACTTTTGTATTTGTTCATGAGAGATGGGCATCACTGGCTAAGCCAGCATTGATTGATCATACCAAATTGGACTGGACAAGGTGGTGAATCACATTCTTGAACTGCTGCAGTCCTTGGGGTGTAAGGACATCCACAGTACTGTTAAGAAGGGAGTTCCATGATTTTGATCCAGCAACAGTAACGTCAGGACGTGGAGTAACTTGGAGGGGAACTAGCAGGTAGTGGTGTTCCCATGCTGATTACAGTTAGATGATAACTCCGTAAAATATAGAAGCAGAAACAGACTATTCAGCCCATTGAATAAGCTTCGCCATTCAATGAGATCATGACTGATCTGATAACCTCAACTCCACTTTCCTGCCTTGTCCCTATAACTCTTGATTCCCTTCCTGATTAAAAACCTGTCTTATCTCAGCCTTGAATTTGTCAAGTTGTGTGGCATTCTCGAATGAAACTAAGTAACACACATCCAAATTCTCCAGCCTGTGGAGAAGTGACCATCTCCAGATCACCACTTTCCAGTTCCCAGCAAAAGAAAATCTGCATCCCCCTACAATGCATTATTATTCCATCTCTGCTCAGCTTTATGCTATATCAATATACCTTATCATAACTGGTTATAAGCAACATGATTCATGAAATCCAACAATAAATTTGTGAAGAGCATATCTTTCCAAGGGATAAAACATACTCATTGAATTATTGCAGCCAATTTTTTTCATTATGGCAATTTATTCCTTTATGAAACTTCAGGCTTTAGTCAAAAAGGATAGTGTTTTTATGTTATTTAACAAGACTGTTTCAACAGCATGTTCCAAACATATACGCTCTACTGTCTAGAAAGAAAGGGCTCAGATACATGGGTGTACCATCTTCTGCGAAGTCCACTCCAATTCACTAATCTTGACTTGGAACTATATCACCATTCCTGGAATTCAAACAGCAGTGTGGATAGACCTCAAAGACTGTAGCGGAAGAAAGCAGCTTAGCACTACCTTATTCAGGTCAATTAAGGATGGACAAAAAATGCTGGCAATGCCCACATCCCTTAATGAAAAAAAACAGAACTGATTCTTCAGATTTATTGTTAGTAGCTAAAAAGAAATGAAACCCATACTTAGTGGAACACTGCATAGATTTGACACAATAACAGGGTAATTTCCATTGAACTAAGAATTCAAGTCAGCTTCATGACTCATTACTGAAGTGATGTACTTATAGAATCCTAGAAGTATAGAATAGTGCCTCAAAGATGTACTTCTTTATTCTTTGCAGAGATTTGTTTAAGAATACAAGGACACTTCCCAAGGTGGTGAGAAAACACATATATTACACTCGGAATTGTGAAGAGAGAGACTTCCAAAAACCCAGATACACATTGAAATCTATTACGGTCTCAGGAAGATATGAACAAATGCAAAGTACTGAACATTGAAATCATAGCCGTCATGGATAGACCCACCTAGAAGAACCTCTTGGAAGTACATAATGGAAAACTTCTTCCAAGGGACATTTCAAGAGTTTTTTGAAGATAGTTTAAGAGAAACTGCTGTCTCTGTTCTCCCTCTCTCTCTCTCTGAAGAAATTGGCACCCAGTTCCCACAGCAACAGATGGAGGGACAAATCATCAAGGAACCAAGAATCTTGAATAACAGCAATTTTTGCTACAACTGACTGAATCCAAAAACCAGCTCGTCAACCTTAGGTTAAAACCTTATACCTCAAAGATAAGAAAAGGACTCAAAACTATATATTCTTTTATCTTAAAGACAGAAAAATGCTGGAGATACTTAGAAAGTTTGGCAGCAAGTATGGAGAGAGAACTGAAGAGTCATATCAGAATTAAAGCAATAACTCACTCTCTCAGATAACAAGGTGTAGAGCTGGATGAACACAGCAGGCCAAGCAGCATCATAGGAGCAGGAAAGCTGA